AAAAAAAAAAAAAGAAAAAAAGAGAAATGACAACCAATGAAAAAGCAAGAGTTACATTAAATTTTGGCAATGAGTTCTATATATTTGGCCATTGTTTTAGTACATTTAGGATTCTGAAGGATATGAGGGTACATTTAATGATTTGCTGCTAATAGCTTAGAGCCACATCTTGGATGAATTTATGAATTGGTTTTATAGCATTTTAAGCAAAGTAGTTAAAAAGCAAGTTACTTTATTCTTTGTTCTTAAAATTACTTGAACCCTAGTCTGGCTCAGTGATTACTGGTCTATTCTAGGATATCCCTGAGAAGTCAAAACTAAACAAAGGCTGGCAGTAGTGGCTCACACCTCTAATTCTAGCTACTCTGGAGGCCGATATCTGAGAATCATGGTTTGAAGCTAGCCTGGGCAGGGAAATCAGTGAGACTCATCTCCAATAAACTACCAAAAAAAAAGCCAAAAGTGGAGATATGGCAAAGAAGCTCAGGGACAGTGTCCAGGCCCTGCATTCAAGCCCCTTCACACACACACACACCCATAAACCAAAGTGACCTTGCTCTGAAGTCAGTTTACACTGAGAATTGATTCTAGGATAATCTCAAAATTGAATTAGGATTGCTGGATTGTTATGAACTGAATAGATTCAGGTAAGCCTTTTTTTTTTTTTTTTGGGTCCAGTCATGGGGCCTGAACTCTGGGCCTGGGTACTATCCCTCAGCTCTTCAGCTCAAGGCTAGTGCTCTACCACTTGAGCCACAGCGTCACTTCCAGCTTTTTTCTTTTTGCTTATGTGGTGCTGAGGAATTGAACCCACGGCCTCATGCATGCAAGGCAAGTGCTCTCCACTGAGCCACCTTCCCAGACCCAGGTAAACCTTTTGTTAGCCTGGATCTTTATCAAACTTTACCAGTTCTGGGGATAGAATAATGTTTTTGTTTCATTTTTTTTCACAATTTTTAAGTCCCTCCATCCACTCCCCAGGGATGGAGATGGAATCTAGGGTCTTGCACATGTTAAGTAACTGCTCTACTACTGAGCAATATTCCCCAGCTTCATCTTTTGATGGGGCTTACTGTATTTTTATTCTGTTCAATACTGGATGAGAGAAACTGATCACTTCCTCTGGCAAAACGGATTTAGGCACTCATTTTCTCCAGCTTCAGCTGTATCTATTGGAAACTTAATGTATTGTAGTTCATCCAGTAAGAATTTATTTAGGGATAACTTTGTGTATTTTTGTTTGTTTGTTTGTTTTTGTCTGTTGTGGGGCCTGAACTCTGGGCCTGGGCACTGTCCCTCAGCTCTTCAGCTCAAGGCTAGCACTCTATCACTTGAGCCACAGCGCCACTTCCACCTTTTTCTACTTATGTGGTGCTGAGGAATCGAATGTAGGGCCAAATGCATGCAAGGCAAGCACTCTACCACTGAGCCACCTTCCCAGCCCGAGGGATAACTTTGTGGTAGTACAATTGATATATATGCTGGGAATATAAACGTGGAAGAGTGACAGTACCCTAAGACCTTATTGTCCAGTTAAGCGGACTCCTAAACATAATTTTAAAACAGTATGACAGATCCTACAATAGAAATAAAATTATTGTAGCTGGACTCATATGGCTCACACATGAAATCCTAGCTACTTGGGAAGATAGTAGTTTGAGGCTTTTCTGGGCAGAAAATTCATGAGACCTCTTCTCAGTTCATAACTGAATGCAGTGACCAGATTTGCCCTTTATCTTAGCTACAATAGTATTTGGTATTCCTAGCTCATAGGTGCTCCTAGATAAGAGGAAGCAAGACTCTTATCTCAAAAATGACCAGTGTTAATAAATACCTATAGGTTGTTTTTAACAGTAGTAGAATGCCTGCCTAGCAAGCACAGCCTTGAGTTCAAACTCCAGTACTGCAAAAATGAACAACAAAAAGAGTATAGGGTGTTGAGTGTTGTGGGAATTTTGCCTGGAAAAGGCCAGAGAGACATTTGAAGTGAGACCTAAAGGATGAAGATAGAAGAGGAGAAGGGTAGTTCAGGCAATGGGAAAAGATTTGAGTAATTTTGAAAGCTTGAGAATATAGGGTACATTAGGAGGATTTTGAGACTTTGTAAACAGTTCTAAGGTAAAGGTATATGTACAAGATACAAGATTGAGTCCAGAAAGTATATGGCAAGTCTGGAATCTATTGGATACTTACATAAAATCATTTAGTTGAACTTTTACTGTTAGAGAGATAAGGATGTATGTGTGGAACGCTATAAACTACCAGCTGTTAATGTGAATCATGATCACAAGAGAAGATGAGAAAGGCAGGAAAGTTGGGGGAGGTATAGATACATGAGGAATTGGAAAGGTTGAAAGTATGCTAGGCATTTTGCTAAGAAGGTGG